CCCTAAACTCTAAACTCTAAACCTTGAACCCTAACCCTAAACCCGTCATATCGTGGAAACCCCAAGCCCTAAATGCCCTGGATGCTAAATTTTTTGCTCCCGAAGACAGCCAGGTCAAGCCCTCTCTTCCTGCGCAGGTTCGATCTACAAAATGGCCTTGCGATCCCTAGACCCTAAACCCTCAACCTTAATCCCTCACCCCTAAATCCTAAACCCTCAACCTTACACCCTAAATCCTAAGCCCAAAACCCTAAATCCTAAACCCTTAACCCTAAACCCTAAAGGTTGTGGAGCTTGCGGTTTGGAGGTTGTGGGTCTCATCGTCCTTTTTGTCTTGCTTTGCGGCGTTGAGGGCTTTAGGGTTTGGGGCCTAGATCGTAGGGTTTGGGGCTTAAGGGGTCCAGGGCTTTGGGTTTAGGGTTTGGGGCTTAAGGGTTCAGGGCTTGGGGTTTAGGGTTTGGGGCTTAAGGGTCCAGGGCTTCAGGTTTAGGGCTTAGGGTGCGGATTAGGAAGGGCTTAATAAGGGGTTCAGCCGTTTCAGGTCTTTTGGTATGGTGTTGCTTTTTGCCCTGCGAGCGCCCCCGGCCAACACCTTAAGCCCGGAGCGGCATCAGCAGCTTCAGGGGTGGAAGATTCAGGACCTAGTAACTTTATGGTTCAGGGTTTTCGGTTTATGTTTAAAGACCTGATTCTTGTCTCAAGCGCTGATCCAAGCCCCTTATTCAGGATCTAGTAACTTTAGGGTTTAGGGTTTATGGTTGAAGCCCTGATTCTTGTTTCAACCACTGATCCAAGCCCCCTTACCTCGGTGTGCACACAGACACATGTGCGTGGATGTGCAGGTTGTCGGCATCAAGTGCATTGTATTTCAGGACACGCTAGCCCCTGCAGACGCCGCAGTGCACAAAATTGTGCAGTTCTTTCAAGGAGACGAAGTGTTGCTGGGCAAATCCAAGCTCAGCATTGTTCATTTGTTGCCGTGGTCTTTAATTAGCATACTCTTCTTCAAATTGTGAAACTGAAATTTTACGTTTGGGCAATGATCAAGAAGCAGAAGGAGCTCCTGCCTGAGAATTGGACAGCAACAGAGTTCAATGGAGCTTTGAGAACTGCTTGGGACACGTGGCAGCGTGTACATGCCGGTGATGATCATGCTGCAATTGGTGAGTGGCTTGACTCGTCGATTGTTGATACTCAAGTCGATGACCACTGATTCCGCTTGGCTGTTCTTCAGTCTGTGGTGCCAACCCACTCAGGAACCTGGAGAAAGCAATGAAAGCCGAGGACAAGGCTGCCAGTGCTACAGGTCGAAAGCAGCACCAAAAGTTGAAGAAAGATGGTCCCACTGGCGAAGCAGCTGGGAGCACTACTGCTACTTTCGGTTTCCGCAGCCCTTGCGGGCGTCGTCTTCCAGCGTTGATTGTTGCCCTGGGAATATTGGCAACGAATACTGGTAGTTGTCGTCGTCATCGTCGTCGTCGTAGTGGTAGTTGTAGGCGTAGTGGTAGTGGAGTGGTAGGGGGAACAGTCATGGTAGTCGTCGTCGAAGTAGCCGTAGTACCAGAGCCCATGGTAGTGGTAGTATTCCGGACCGACCCTCAATCCTAAACCCTAAACCCAAGCTGAAGTACTCAAATGGTTTGAAAAGCTTCGCAAAACACACGCGATGTTGAAACTTTCAGGGATTTTGGACCGGCGGCTTCCCACTCCAAGCCTCTCCGATCAGGGTTTGGGATTTAGAGCGTTTAGGACCCCAGGGTTTAGGGTTTAGGGTTTCTGGTTTGGGTTCAGGGTTTGAGTTTGTCGTATAGACTCAAGATAGAGACCTTAAGCAGGATCATTGTAAACCCTAAACCCTAAGCCCTAAACCCTAAATCCCAAACCCCAAGAGCTGAAGGAGGCCGTGGTGGAGGTTCCTGCCCCTTCCGGACCTCCTCCGGGCTGGTCGCCGCCACAGGCCAGTAGTGTTTAGGTTTTAGGATTTAGGGTTTAGGGTTTAGGGTTTAGGGTTTGAATCAGCGTAGTTGTTTGGGTGCAGGGGCCTTAATACCTAGGATGCGGTTTGCAAGGTGTTTACAGGGTTTTGTGAGAGGGTTCAACGGGAGGTTTCGGCGTGTGTGTATGTGTGTGTGTGTATATATGTGTGAGGTTAGGTTTTTAGGCTCTGGGCTTGGACAAGTGCGCACACAGCTCAACCATTCGGTTGATGCGATCTTCAAGGCAAGACCGGCTCTGCACAACGCGGTTGTTCTGACTCCTGATGTGCAGCCCAAGGCTGTAGAGAGGCTGGAGATATCTACAATTTCTGAAGGGGGTCACGACGGATTCACGGCTTATTCCAAGGATTGGACTACAGAATTCATCAAATTTGGGGCACACGGGCGCAGGGTGTAGGATTTACTCTGCAGGGTTTGGGATATCGGGTTTAGTTTTTTCACGGCTCAGGGCTTATAGTGTTTGGTATTTAGCCTTTGTTCCTAAACCCGAAGCCCTAAACCCTCTGTGAACCCTAAACACCCTAAACCCTAAACCCTAAACCCTCTGTGAAACCTTTACAAAGCTCGGCCCGTTGCAGATCCAGGCTCCATTTCCGGCCGCAGCTTGCGCCTCAAAGGGTTTTCCATGGTGCTTCGGGGGGTTTAGGGTCAAGGGATCTGAACCCTAAACCCAAAACTGTAAACCCTAAACCCTAAAACCCTAAACCCTAACCCTAAACCCTAAACTGTATGCTAATCGTTAAGACCCCTAAGCTTTTTGGATCAACTAAAGAGACACCCAAAGCTTTCTTCTGATCCGCTCCTTTGGG